AGCTGGGACCTCACACACAAAGTCATCTATCTGCCGGTGGGGGCAGAAGGGCAGGCGGAGGGTGGAAGGGGTCTGGATCACTGACTCTACCAGGCCAATGACCCAGGCCGTAGCTGCCAGCTGCCAGCACAGGCGGGGGTGGATGATGGTGGCATAATGGAGAGGCTGGCAGACCGCCACATAGCGGTCAAAAGCCATCACTGTCAGTAGGATGCACTCCGTGGTTCCCAGAGAGAGGAAGATGAAGAGCTGCACAAAGCAGCCAAGGAAGCTGATGGTTTTGGGGCCCCAGAGGTTGAAGAGCATCTGGGGAACACAACTCGTGGTGAAGCAGAGATCCAAGAAGGAGAGGTTGCAGAGGAAGAAGTACATCGGGGAGTGGAGCCTGGAGTCCAGCACAGAGAGCAGGATGATGAGGGAGTTTCCCACCAGCGTCAGGAAGTAAGAAGTCAAGACAATCCCAAAGAGAATCTTTTCAAGTCCTGGATGTTCAGAGAAGCCCAGAAGGAGAAAGCCCACTGGGGAGCTCTGGTTGACCATGGCCTGTTCATGTAGATCCTAGAGATGGAGGAGAAGCTGTCAGCCAACTAGTTGCTGCAACCCATTTTATAATAACTCACCAAGAATGTGCTGGGAAACAAGTGCATACTTCTGATAATTCTCACTTTACTGACAGAGGCTCTCTCTGCCATCGAATCAATGGGGACTCATAGGGACCCTACAGGATAGGGTAGAACTGCTCTGTGCCCCATTTTTCTGCTTCAGAATGACTGTTGGTTTCACACTGCTGACCTTGCGGATCCCAGCCCAGGAGTAACCACTCTGTCACCATGTCTCACTCCTGAAGGATGGTAAAGGAGGCCAGTGCAACTTTTTGATCAATTAACTGACTCATGCCTTCATTCAGCACCCAGTTGTAGCGTGGGACAACATGTGTCTGAAGCAACTTGATGGGGATGGATTTTAGTTTGGTTTTATGTTCTGAGTGCTATCCTAAATGTTGTATTGTCTCTTACTTACTTGTGGAGAAATTTTATGATGGTAAGTTATTTCCACTGGGTTGCTAATTTTCTCTTGGTCAGGATGAATTTTGTAAAAACCATTGAAGTTCCCCAGGGAACTTCTCAGAGACTGAGTATTTTGCCCATGAGAGAGATTCCTTTGTGCAAAACATCCCTCTTTCACCCGAGAGATTCCCCTTGGGCATCCTGGTCTCATAAGCGGCCTGTTTGCTGAACTAGGTGCCTAGTTGGGAGCTTTGATGGACAGTCTGAGTCCCTACCAGAAGCTGCTTACAGGCAGCAAGGGAGCCAGGCTTCCAGTCCATTTCTGCTCCCTGAAGAATCCACAAGAACATTATGAAAAGACCCCACAATCTAAGAGCTCAATGATACCAATGTACTGGGTGAATGAGAGAAAAGATTTTATCAAGGGAAGGATAAATTTGGGTGGATATACCAGGGAAATCTTTCTAGAGGAGGGAGCTAGACTCCCCCTCTCTCCCTGTGATAAAGAGTATGTAGGCACAAAAGGTAGCTGAGAGGCCAAAGTTGAGGCTGAAGCTACCCTGGCAGTTGAGAGGCATGAACTCAGGAGTTCGTGGTTTTAGAAGACCTTAGAAAGTACATATTTGGGACAGGCGTGTGTGTAGTGAGAAGGTGGTATAGCTCGGGACCTGGGACCTACAGGGGCGTGAGAATCTTCCCAGCACCAGGTCTCTTTCCGCTTGGTGTTTGCTGGGCATTTGATTTTGCTCTTTCTTTGTTTATTCTTTCTCTTTCTCAAATTCTTTCCACCTCTGTGGGATATTAGAATTTTAACAAAAATAGTATCACATGTTTAAGCAAATATGATAGTAAATCAAATCATTGTAATGTAAACAACGATAAAGTCAATACCTCATTTACCTGCCCACCAAGTTCAGAAAGTGAGCAAATATTACAAGTGTCTTAGCAGCTCCTAGAACAATCACATCATTTTATCATGCCCACCTCAATACATAACCACCATTGTGGGTTTTTAAAATTCTCAATTAATCATTTCCTTGTTTGAGACTGAGAAACCCCACTACCATCCAGTACATGTTGACTCGCAGAGGTCCTGCGGATGAAGCTGTCTGCTTCTGTGACAACAATCCTCTCAGGAACCCTGCGGAGGGTCCCTGTGAATCAGACTCAATGCCAGGGCAGTGGTTTTGTTTAAAGACATCATTTAAATGCCATCAATGAACCCATTTAAGGTGGATAACTTAGTGGGTTTCAATGTGTTCACAGAGTTTGCAATCAACACAAATTCTAGAATGTAGTTTTCACTCCCCAAAGAAAACATATACCCATTAGTATCCATTCTCTCTAGTGTTTTCAGGACAGTAGAGAATTCTTTGAATGTCACCCTCCCCACTGTCTTTTATTCATCCATCAGCTGTCATCCTCACCAATGTTCTGCATTTATGTCCTCAGTATTTCACACGCTTTCTTGCTTTGCCTCATTTCCAAAGCTCTTTAGATGATATCCTTTGAGCTAATGTTTACACACACACTTCCAGTTCCTCTTTGCTCCTGATCTCTTCTCAAATAACAAAACATCCATCCACCATCCATCCATCCATCCATCCATTCATCCATCCATCCTTCCATCCATCCACTTGTCTTTTCCATTTCTTGAGGCCCAAGATGAAAGCAGTGTGCTAGAAGCTGAGGGGAGAGGGAGGAGATCAGCTCACATGAGTTTATGACAATCTATTGACATGCATTCACTGCCATTGAGTTATCCTGACTTATGGTGACCTTCCAGGACAGAGTGAAATGACTGCTTAAGAGTTTCAGAGGCTACACATCTTTATGGTAAAGACAGCTTCGTCTTTCTCCGTTAGAGTGGCTGTGGATTCCAACTGATCACCTTTGAGTTAGCAGCACACTTCACAACCCACTGCACCACCAGGCCTTTTAGTGGAAGTTATCTGCTATTGCTGTTAGTAGCTACCATCCATTGAATGTTTCTTTATGTGCCAAGCATGGTGGTAAACAGCTCTATGAACACCTGGCTCTCATGGTAACACAGCAAAGTGAATATTATGAACCCAATTTTATCAAAAAGAACAATCTCAGAGAAGTTATGCAATTGTCTAGTCAACTCAGTCAATAAATGCCAGTGCCAGGCTTCTAGACGCCATTTAACTCTAAATCTGGTGTTCTATCATGGAGGAGAAGAGAGAGGGGTAAAACAAACTTTCTACTCACTCACATGCAAACAAATTCTCTTGTACCCTGTTGCTAAAGGTTTCCCCTCTTGAAGCTTGTAACTGTCATGTAGCCTATCATTACAGAGTCTTTGGTGGATCCATGGTAGAATTCTTGTTTTCTACACTCACGAGCTGGGTTCACCACCTGTCATGCTCAAATGTTGCTGTGCTGCTCTATAGGTGCCAACAGACTGTCCAGGCTAAGAGAGACAAAGGAGAAAGGCTTGTCTGTCTACTGACAAAAACCATCCAATAAAAACACAAATGTCAGATCTGAAACTGGTCATC